TGTTATCTTGTGCCTAGGGATTAGATGTTGAACCCCAAAAGTCCATCCCAACGACTTCAAATATTCCATCCGGAGGTGCAATAGGATGTAGTTTGCCTGGCAGTTTTTTCCTTCTGATATTAAATTTAGCGCATGGTTGACATGATCGAACATAATTTATGATTGTTGTCATCATGTTGGGCCAAAAATAGCGATCTTTAAGTTTGGATCATGTACGTCTAATGCCAAAGTGGGCGCCTGTTGGATGATCATGATACGCAGCCAGGACTTTTGAAATCATTGATGGTGGTAGATACGGTAGTTTAATTCGCTTTTGCTCACCTCTTAATACAATTTTATATAAAGTATCTTCAAATACTTCATATAAAGTTGTCGGTGAATTCTGCTTTATATGATTAATTTTTTCTTGAATTGATTTATCGTGACATTGTTCATCTTTCAATGTTTTAATATCAAAATCAAACAGCAGGGATGATGATGGAGCAGGATTGCTCGACGATTGTTGCTTCACTGTTGATGATTGTGAGAGTACTAAATTGTTTGACGCCTGGTAGGTTAATGTCTTATTTCTTGGACGAAGCTGCCGAGACTTTTTATTTGTTCCTGGATTAGGAGATGTATCTGTTGTGATGGTAATGCGCTTATCGTCAGTTGTCGTGCGTGCTCGAGCTGCTGATCAGCTGAGGATAATGACTTCAGCAGTGTGTTCTTCATCGTTGTCAAATGTAGTGCCATCCATTTTATTCTTAACATCTCTTGTGATTATGGTATCATCACTATTACGCACGAATTGAGAATCAGATGTACGACGCCGCTTGTTCTCTCTGTACAATGCACTTCGACATTGATTGCAGATAATCATCTTTGATTGTAACTGACCTCCACGGACTTTCAACAATTCGTGTAATCATCGATATTTCTTGTCTCATACTGTTCGAAATATAGCTTTCGAAGAAGGTTTCTTCTGGTTAAGCTTTCGATTACAATTAATGCAAGATAGTTTTCCTACCATGTTCGATAAAAATGAGTGCGTCTTATTATTTCTCTTTCTGTATTACTCTTTCTTTACTATTTCTATTTCCCTCTTCTTCACAGACTATTTTCTTTCTGTTCCAAACGACATCATCGCGAGACAGACTATTTAAAATAGTCTGTCCCGCGAGCACGAAAATATTCTGTCTTGCGATGCTGTCGTGTTGAAATTTTCCGCTTCACATACTTTCAAAGTTGGAAAACAGCATCGATGTCAACTTATGACAAATATTTACATCAGACCACTTGAATGCAGTGTACTTTTCATTGTAATTCGACCAAGAATCATTTACTTCCAATGAAAATCTCAGAGAAGCCATAATTACACATGGAGTACCACCTCTGATGGTAGAAATCGAAGAACGGTTCTTTCTAAAACCTTTGGTTTTTCATAGGGTCTCTGGAAAACCTTGTATATCTGGCTATACCATTTTTGAAATTTTAAGGTTACCAGTAGGAAGAGCGATAAAAACTGTGTCCGCGGTTAAATTTTCAGTGTCATCAGACGATATTTTGAGGAAATATGCATATTGGACTTTTGAAGCATTCACGGGTTCATGGTATTTTCTAATCAAAGAGCCGCTATTGCACTATAACTCGCTCAAAGTGGAAAGTGAGATAATGCATTTTGTAGCCCTTGATGTGCTCTATAAAAGAGTGCACTTATATTGGCAAAATAAGCGTCTGATTGAGCTTCCAGAGCTAAAGCACAGGATGGACTCTATGATCCAGGCTCCAGATCATGGACATGTGCGGTGAAGATATCCAAAAGCTCTCTAAAATGCTTCTGATATAGCCTGTTCGACGCAGTTTTTTACGCTTAACACGAATATAGTTTAAGTTTCGACTGTGAGTGGCACTTAGTAGAGAAAAAATGAACATTGGAGAGGAAAAAGTAAAAATGACCGTAAAATTGGAATGAAAATTTCAATGCGAGGGCCGTTTGGGTGCCACACCCCCCTGCTGGAAAGTCTTCAAATAGTGCATTTTGTAGAGCTGGCTCTTGGGCAATTTCTGACAAAACTTGACGGATGGTCACATCTTTTGTGATCGGCATGCCCCACTACACTGATATTCATAGTGAACTATGAAGACTCGACGAAAAATCTTTTTTTTCTTTTAAAACGAATCAACTAGAGATATCAAATATATAGGCGTGTAGCCCGAGATGAGCTCTACCAAAGTGTATATATAAAAAACTTTTTATAGGTCTCGCTGATGAGCAGTGTGATCTATATTGAGCAAGCATCTACTAGACTTATATCAAAATCTGAATCATAGCCCTGTAACGGTAAACGGACTCTAGTTCCCAGAAAACTGGATGAAAACACAGCTTCCTACATACCATTCGACGCGCCTGAACTTGCTCTACAAAACTACGTATTTGGTTTCTCGATTGTGGTATGGTCATGAAATCCGACAGGGTCCATACTTTATGGTAGTTTTGCGCGTAAAAAGTGGGCATTTGACATTCGATAATGCGTGGCGAATGTGAAGGATGGTGACAGTGAGTGGTGGTGGTGATGGTGGTGGTGGTGAGTGATGATGGTGGCAGTGAGTGGTGGTAGTGAGTGGTGATAGTGAGTAAGGAGAGAGACAATTTGCAGCGTTTCGTTGAGTGTTTTTTTACCGCATGTGGTTGCATGACTTATCTGCGGTTGAAGTATATGCTTGGGTGGTTTCTTTCTTACAAAAGTTCCGGCAAGATTAGGTGTTGTGCGAAAACCGAATATGGGCGTAATAGGCTCAAGGGGTGTGTCGGTAAAGATTTGCTGCCAAAGCTGATTGAGACGTGTGGCAAAACAGTTTAAAGATGGCGTGTAGGAAAAATGTATTAGCAGGTCAGTATCCCAGTTGATGGGACACCGTTGTTTGATTGACGGGTCCTGCTTTCTCCAGTCTATCTGCCGTAGGTGAGTCCGAATAGGGTGGTATTTGTGAAAAAGCTCGTCCGTAGAGGAGAGTTTAAGTCGTTGAGGACCCGCTGGAGTTGCTGGTCAATAAATACCGGTGGGTATCTGCTAAGGAGTAGTCGCGTGCGTATTCGTGTGCATTCCGCCTGATACTCCTCTTGGTTCGAACATATCCTGATGGCACGTATGAATGAAGCCACAGGTATATTTCGCTTGACATGCATTAGGTGTGAGCTGCCAAACGGTAGTAAGTATGGTTGGACTACCGGTTTGCGGTACACGGCTGTTGATGCGCGTGGAACCTGTGCCTTGATGAAAACATCCAGGTACGCACAGCTCTTTCCAATTACAAACGTCAACTTGATGTTAGTGTCTTTGTTATTGAGAATGCCTAGCTTTTGTTCGATTTGAAATGCAGTAAGGCGAGTAGTGAAAAAGATATCATCTCTAAAACGTACATGCATCTCTTCCGCTTGTCTTTCTGACGCCAAAAAATCGGCTTCCCATTCGGCCATGTACGCATCAGCGAGAACCTGAGTCACTGCTGATCCCATTGCGCCTCCCCTAGTTTGCTTGAAGAATTTTTCCTCGTAGCAAAAAGTTTTCGTTTTTTAATATTTTCGAGTCTCAAAAGGTAGTTGGAAGGCTAAAACACACATACTCTGATTCAGCTCGATGAACTCTATCGATCCATGTATAAATATCGAAAAAATAAAATGCGCTCAAGTTTTGAATTTCCGCCACCATAGTAAATCAACAAACTTGATCATACACCGTTTCTTGTGAAAATAGAAATGCTGCGGTAAAATCCTTTAGTTTTCTCGATATAAATTGTCTCTCTCGTTTATTTTTTTTTTCTTCCAGTCTACATAATTCATCGTGCAGAAGATACTTTTGAGTAAATTCCCCTCCACTGTTTGATTCTTCTTCGTTAAAACTATGTTTCGTAGGTCTTAGTGTAAGAAGTGGAAAAGGGTCCTCTCTAGTTATTCCAGTTTTAATTAGCAAAGTGAGTAGAATACAGAATTAATTTAGAGGTATGGTACATTCGATAATTCAGTCTTTTCCTTACTTTATTCGTTAAAGAGAAAACGTGCTGTGTGCCCTCACCCATTACCGTTAAATTCATGAATCGCTTCATCATCATAATTAACATCAGAATTTACTTGTCGCTGAATGGCATCATAAATTGTACTTATCCACTCGCAAACGCTATCATTTGTTGGAATCACTACAAAATTAACATCAGAAAAACATTAGTGGCACACTAATAATGATTGAAAAGTGTTATAACTCACACATCGATACATCACTCAATTCCGAATATCGTTTTTCCAATGCTGAACATTTATCTCTCCATTTATCACGATCTTCAGTAATTTCATTCAACTGAACAGTTAAATCTGATAATGTATCCATTCGATTTTGTGTTTTATTCGATGTCGTTGTGACAGCATTTGTGTCTGTCACTGATGGCGTAGGTTCAGATGCTGCAGCAGTAATGTCAATTGATGATGTTAATGAAGAAGCAGCTACCGTTACATCCTGACTATGGTTTATCGGCATTAAATGAGTTAGAGAAGGTTTGATCTT